TAATCCCTCCTTTATCTTCCTTTATACGGGATAATTATTTAACTGATCACAAGTGGTAAATCCAGCATCAACGTTCAGTTAGGGCGAAGGTTGACTTTGATTGTTGATTGTCGACAATCAACGATCATAAAACCTCAGTCCGGTTAGCGGCCGATTGTTTATTAAAATTTGATTAAATTATATTAAAAATTATTCAATATATATGTAAATGTACTAAAATGTAGAAATTATATACATCTGAAAATATGATTCAATAAATCCAAAATGCTAAAAAAAATATATAATACAACCTTACTTTGTAATTGTAAACTTAGACAACTGAATTTTACGAGGTCTCATATTTTGAAAACATTGCAATATTGCATCATTCTCAAGTTTTATAAAAAGATATTTCTCCATGTAAACCACCAAATTGTCATTCAACAATTCATCTCCCATTTTGTTGCGCAAATAATTCTTGACAAGATTCATAGCAGAGAATACCCTTTCAACACTTGCAATCATCACAGTTAATATCAAAACTAATGTGATCAACCTATAACCAATGGAAAATAACAAGAACTTCTAGTTTCAACCAACTTATGAACTACACAAGATATGATTTTAAGGTTGAAGAAAGTTTCGTTCACTCTCACGAGCATAAGAAACTTGTCAAATTGTAGTTTAAGTAATAAAAGCTCTTCACTATTGAAATCCAAATGATATATCTGAGCAAGACGTACCAATTTACATACATCAAAAGCTACAAATGAATCTCTTAGATTTAAACACGAAATGCAAGTAAAAAGCTCATAAGTTATTTCTGAAAAAATATCATTCAACTCTTGCAAGATTGAATCTATCACGTAACAATACAAATCAACATAAAAGCGATGATAATAAGTCACCTGCTGAGTTGCACGCCTAGGTCAACCTTTCAATACTACACTATCATCCATATTGGGCACTGTAATATGTCTATCAACACAAAACTTAATTACCTTACTCAACAAAGTATCCTTACCATTGTCTCTCATGTTCTGCAATGCGTACTTACACAATTTCAATAACTTCATAGCATTCTGAATATCTTGATCTTTTTTTTGTAAGGTTTGTGAAATTTCGTCTGTAATTGTAAGAATGTTTCAAACATAATGGAGACTGAACACAAATTGAAAATCTTGCCTAGTGTCCATCTGTCTTACGGCCATTAAGTTTTGCTCTAAACTTATGTCGTCTTCTGATATATTCTCAAGAACATCTACGATTGCATTAAACATACTTATAAAGTGAGTAATTGTTTTTAGATGTGAGCCCCATCTAGTATCACCTGGGCGTGTCAAACTCATTTATTGAAACTGACCAGTTCCACCATCCTCAATATTAAGTCTCTTCAAAATTCAGAATGATAACTTGTTCGATGAGTATCTACACGTTTACATGATGCACCAACCAAATTCACAATAATAGCAAGCATGTTAAATAAATCACTAACCATAACATTCCTATGTGCCACAGAAACAATTGCCAATTGAAATTGGTGAGCAAAGCAATGAATATACATAGCACATGGGTTCTCTCTTAAAATTAAAGCATTTAAGCCATTGGACTCACGTGACATATTGCTTTCTCCATCGTAACCTTGACCTCTCAGGCTAGATATGCTCAACCCATGTGTAGAAAACATTGCATGAATGACATCCTTAAGTGATTGGGCACAAGTACCAGCGATATGAAAAATGCCCAACAAACGCTCCTTCACTTGCCCTCTTTTGTCAACAAACCTCAAAACAACTGTCATTTGTTCTTTTATAGAATTATTACAAGACTCATCAACCAAAATTGAAAACAAAGAATCATCCATCGCATTGATCATAGACCTTGTCATCTCTACAGTACAACAATTAACCAAATCCTTATGGATGCTTGGTGAAGTCATTTGGTCATTTCCAGGAGCATTACTAAATAGTACTTCATTAATTTTCTTACGACGAGCTGCATACTAATTTAGTAGCTCAATTAGATTTCTTTTATTAAGAGATTCTTTCGATTCATCATGACCACAAGATGGCAATCCTTGCATTAACAGGAATCTAGTATAGTCTAGCACCGCAGTCAATCTTGTCATATAATTTTTTTGTTGACTACTAGTTTGGCTAGAAATAACATAGGAGATACTTTGCTTTTGATACATCAAATTGGTACACTTTGCAAAAGCTTGATTATGAGCACTATCAACGAGCCCGACATGATCTTTCAATGTATTTTTATGTTTCCAATCCCTAAAGCCAGTCTTAGTGAATATATGTCCACCCCCTTGACCCCTTCTATCATGTTTGAACAAGTAGCAATGTAAACAATAAGCTGCATCATTTTCTATACTGTACTCCAACCAATAAAATTAAGAAAACCATTCTTTTCAAAAACACCTATTATTATTTTCTATCTGTCTTCTTGGAAAGTCATGTCCATGTGGTTGACAAGGACCTTTTTCCAAATATGCCATCCTAGCATCATCTCTGATATTAGGATCATATGACTTGATATGGGGCATTTTCCTGGATCAGATACAAGATCATCCACATTGAATTGAGCCCGAAACTTCTTTGTGTTTTTTAACAATTCGAGTGCTCGGCTAGAAGTAGCGGCTAGACTAGAACTAGAAGAACTAGGCATAGACTTTCATTTCGATTGAAAAAATCGTTCCATAATCTGCAAAATGCCCCAATTTAATTTTCAATTACAATTGATTAAAAAAATCAACAATTCAACAAAAAAATCCCCAAGATTAGAGAGCAGTGTATTAGAAAAATCAAACACTAGAAAATTAGTCAAAGTTGCTACATCTATAGTTGGTAGGTTGGCCATCTATGTCAATTTGAATACTCAAACAAGTCAAAAACAAATAAATGCTTGAAGTATTAAAAGCAACCAAATTATTAGATACGACAAAAATGAAAGACTACCAAATTTTCGCCCATCTTAATACTAGATAGTGAAATTCTGTAAAATAGTCCAAATTCAATTTGTAAAAGCAAACAAAAACCACAGCCATTCAACTGAGAATATAGACTACAAAAATTCAATAATTAACAAAAGATTTTTTAACCAAACTTGGTCACAATTAGAAACCTAACAAAGAGACGATTTCACTAATTCTTAACAAAATATAAGCAAGTTCATCCACTTTTTTGTCGAAAGATTTAGTCATGCGTGTTTGGCTAAGCTAAAAATTTACTTGCATCAGTTACATGTAACTAACGAGGAGTCGAGAAGGAATTGGGGAAGAATTCACAAATGGTTTGCTCTTACCTCTTCTCTGATCTCTCTGGGATTTGGCTATCGGTTTTAATGGGAAGGAAACCGAAAACAGGACTAATTCGGGAAAGGAAAGCTTGCTGCCTGCTGGTCGCTGGTGCTCTGCCGTCTGTGACCTACCCTCTGCTGGCGATAGTGGACTAATTTTTAGGGAAGAATCTGGTTATGCGTTATATGGAGAATGCTCATTTGGGCTTTTTTAATTTAGGCCTGCTTTAAAAATAAAATAAAATAGAGGCCTAACACAAAATCTGAAACTGCAATAGTGACCCAACAACCAACTAAATCTGAAAACAAACCACTCCTGACGGTCGGCAATTCGGGCGGCTGCCCTAGCTAACCAATAGCTACATTCACCACTGTCGATCACTGAACTTTGCGAAAGGTTTTCAGGAGATCATTGAATTTCAAAAGTTTCCATGTTAATCACCGAACTTTACAAAATGTAATCCCATTTATCACTAATAACATCAAAAGTTTTACCGTTAGTCACTAAATTTTAGAAAATGAAATCCATTCATCACAACTTTTGAAGTTCAGTGACTCCTTGAAAACCAACAAAGTTTAGTGACTAATCCAGTAATTAAGCAATCTTTATATTTTTTTAGCCTTTTCTTTTTCTTTTGTTGTACTTATATTCCATAATATTATTCTCTTTAATATCCTCAAACTTAGAAAAAACTACCATTTCATTTGGGATAACCAATAAGGTTATTTGTTGACATCTCTAAAACTAAAGAGGCAACAAAGGACAATTATATGGGCTGCTTTAGCTTCGATCGTCTTTTCATCGAGATACACTTGAATAAAAAGCATAAATTTATTAGATTCTTAGCTGAAGATATGTATAATTTCAAAGATGAAAACTAATATGTGATTAATGCTAAATGGGTTCTCTTCCAAAATAGTTAACTGCATGGACTTCTATTGTCCCTTTAATCTTAGAGA